CAGAAGCTATTTGTGCCACCTAAGTATGCTTATAACCGACACAGGACACACTATGCACAACCTAGACAAAATTATAGGTCTTATCAACCTAGGTTTGCTAGGAGGAAACAGGAAATAACACCTCCTGCACGTAGGAAGTTTTATGCCTACAACTATGATTACAATCCCAACAAGTTTAGAGCTGCAAGGAAGATTCCCTGCAACTTCAAACTTGATGTAGGGACACACACCCTTAACTACTCCGGACCCAAACTTAATTGGGTACCAAAATCTTCCTCCTCCTAATGCAGGAAGCCACTAAGTACCCAGGTGTCTGGTACTTAGACAGTGGCTGTTCAAGACACATGACGGGTGATGCGAGCTTTTTGAGCAATCTAATTCCCTATCTATGGTCCAAGAGTTACTTTTGGAGGAAGCAATGATTTCGGCCTTACTAAAGGGCTAGGAAATCTGGTGTACAAGGGACTAACCATCCAAGCTGTATCTTATGTTGAAGGGCTCAATTACAACCTTCTTAGCATAAGTCAGTTTTGTGATAAAGGTTACTCCTTGGAATTCTGCAAGGACATGGCATCTCTCAAGAACACCTCCACAAATGAAGTCATTCTCACTGGGAAGAGAATCAGGAACATCTATGAAGTAATATGGGACGATGTCAAGGAAGCATGTCTAATCAGCAAAGGTGACACTAACCTTCTATGGCTTTGGCATAAAAGGTTGAGTCATCTCAACTTCAAAACTCTCAACAAGTTGTCCAAAGAAGGGTTAGTAGAAGGTCTTCCCAAAGCTGCATTCAGAAAGGAAAGTATTTGTGATGCTTGCCAAAAAGGAAAGTAAGTCAAGTCCACCTTCAAGGCAAAATCGGCACCCTCAACTACAAGGATATTAAGTCTTTTTCACATGGACTTATTTGGCCCTGTTACACCAATAAGTCTAAGTGGAAAGAAATATGTCCTTGTGGTAGTTGATGATTACTCAAGATACACATGGACAATCTTCCTCAACGGAAAGAAGGAGACTCAAGGGAAACTCACCAACTGCATGAAGCTGATTCAAAACCAAGCAAGTCAGACCATTCAGAAGATCAGATCTGACAAAGGCACAGAAATCCTGTATGAAATAATCATTCACTATTGTGAAGAAAACGGAATTCTTCATCAGACATCTGCAGCAAGGACACCTCAACAGAATGGTGTAGCTGAAAGAAGGAACAGAACCCTGAAGGAAGCAGTGAGAACCATGCTAGCAGAAGCTTCCTTACCAAAAAGGGTCTGGGCTGAAGCAGTTAACACAGCCTGCTACACTCAAAATAGGAGTATGATTTATAAAAGGCACAACGAAACTCCCTATGAACTGTGGAACGGGAGAAAGCCTAATATATCATATTTCCATATTTTTGGGAGCAAGTGCTTTGTGTTAAACAATGGGAAGAATCATCTGAACACTTTTGATGAGAAATCAGATGAGGCCATCTCTCTAGGATATTCCATGGTAAGCAAGGCGTTCAGAGTCTTCAACAAAAGAACCATGATCACTGAAGAGTCAATAAATGTTATTTTTGATGAAAAACATGTGGTTGACAAACCATCAAAGCATGATCATGAGGTTATGGATCTATCAGACAAGGATGAAGAAGTCAATAAAGGAGATAGAATAAAGCCCACGGAATTCATTCCATTCAGAAGTCTGCCTCCGAAGATTTCACAGAAAAATCCGGATTCAGACAGTGCTGAGCCCTCTGGAAATTTTGACCAGCCTTCCAATTTTCCGGATATCTCAAACGGCGACAATTCCGGAAATGGCAACTCAGTGCCAATCCATCCGGAAACACCAACAACTTCTATTCTTCAACCAGAAGCTGAACTAGATCAACCAGTCAATCCCAATCAACACAATCTTCGCTGGTTAAGGGATCATCCTCCTCAACAGATCATTGGAGATATTCAATCCGGTGTTCGCACAAGGAGTGCCCAACAGAATCTAGAAGCTATGCTTGCTTGTTTCATCTCACAAGTTGAACCAAAGAATATTGAAGAAGCTCTAGCTGATTCTGATTGGATCAATGCAATGCAAGAAGAACTCAACCAGTTTTCCAGAAATGATGTCTGGAAACTTGTTCACAGACCTACTCATCAACATGTCATTGGGACAAAGTGGGTCTTCCGGAACAAGATGGATGAAAACGGCGTTGTTGTAAGAAACAAGGCCCGGTTAGTTGCAAAAGGATACTGTCAAGAAGAAGGTATAGATTTTGATGAAACCTTCGCTCCAGTTGCTAGACTTGAAGCTATAAGGCTGTTTCTAGCCTTTGCTACTCATAAGGACTTCAAAGTCTATCAAATGGACGTCAAAAGCGCATTTCTCAACGGAAACCTAGAGGAAGAAGTGTATGTAGATGGAAAGGATGTAGATCAAACTCTCTACAGAGGGATTGTCGGATCTCTACTTTACCTTACTGCAAGTCATCCGGATATCTCATATGCAGTAGGTGTTTGTGCCAGATTCCAGTCAAAGCCAAAGGAAAGTCATCTGATAGCAGCTAAAAGGATTCTTAGATACCTCAAAGGAACTCAGAACATGGGTTTGTGGTATGCTAAGAGCAATTCATTTGAGCTAGTGGGATACTCAGATTCTGACTTTGCCGGATGCAAAGTTGATCGGAAAAGTACATCTGGTACTTGTCAATTCATTGGTGGAAATCTTGTTTCTTGGTTCAGTAAGAAACAAAACTCCATTTCTACATCAACAGCAGAAGCAGAGTACATTGCAGCCGGTAGTTGTTGTGCTCAAGTTTTGTGGCTAAAGCAACAATTATTGGACTATGGAGTCAAGACAAAGGAAGTGACAATCTTTTGTGACAATCAAAGTGCCATAGCCATCTCTCAAAACCCAGTGCATCATTCTCGCACTAAGCACATTGAGGTCAAGCATCACTTCATCAGAGATCATGTGGAAAAGAAAGATATCAAAATTGAGTATATCTCAACTGAAGAACAACTGGCGAATATCTTCACCAAACCACTAAGTGAAGCCAAGTTTTCCGATTTGCTTCACAAAATTGGTCTAATTCAATTAGACTAAATGTAGTGCACGTGGCAGTTCACTTTCCACGTCTGTCAAAATGATGGGTGGGGACGTGGCCTTGGGAACAGTTAAAAAAATCCAATCGCCACTAGCCGCATAAATCGCCCACATTGAAACCCAATCGCCACTATTCAGATCTCAACCGCCCACTCAAAAATTCTTCGTCATCTTCTTCGCAAAAAATTCTCAAGAACTTGCAAGAACCCTAAGTCTTTCTTTCTCAAATTTTCACCCAAATTTCTGTCTTTTACTTCCAACAGCCTCGTTTACAGGTGAAGGTCTTCAATCTTCGGTTCACGAGGAGTGGTTGTAAGAAGGTTTCGATAGACGTTTACTATCGGCGAGTTCTTGAGAGGCTTAAAGAAGTTTACCTCTATCGCCTCAAATTCGAGGAAGAAGTTCTCGAATTCTACAGAAATGGAGAAATCAAAACTGCCCATTCCAAGAAGGACCCACAGAGGACGGTTCCAGTCATCAAGTCCACTGTTGGAGGTACAAAAGTGAAGCTTTCACAGAAGAAATTGGGAGAAAAGCTTCGCCTTCCCAATTCTGGAGTTGAAGTTGGGAAATTTCCAGTCAAAAATCTGGACTGGAACATCATTGGAATTTCTGGGCGAACTTCTTCTGGCCCTGCGAAGAAAGCAGATCTAAACAACGATTATAAGTTGGTTTTGGAACTGGTCATCGCTTGCCTCGAGTGTGGAAGTGGAGGTCATGCCGATGACATCACCCAGGAGAGAGCCTTCATTATCAACTCTCTCATTACCAAAACTAAGGTAAACTGGGCTGCACACTTTTTCAATTCCATCTCAAAGCATTTGGGAAAGCCCAACCAGAAATATCTCTGTCAAGGACTATACCTTGGACGTATTTTGGGATCTATGGGTATTGCTTCTAAAGGAAAGAAGTATGAAGAAAGATACTGGTTATATTATCTGTCTTCAAAAGGGGAAAACAGAGCTGGTACTAGTGCCACTGCAGAAGAAAGCTCTTCAGATAACATCCCACTCATCCATATGACGAAGACTACCAAAAGGAAGAAAGTGGTGTCTCCCTCTATTGAAGCACCACAGAATCTTGCTCCAATAAATCTTGAAGAAGAGGAAGAATCCTCTGACCAAGGAGAACTTCAAAGGAAGAAGAAGAGGAAGATCAACTCCCCATCAACATCTGGAAATGTCAATCCGGATGAGTTGAAGGAGAAGGAAACTACTGAGGAAACATCTGCTCATAACCGGAGCCCTCAACAATTTGAAGAAGAAATTCCTCAAGTCCAAAGCCCTCCAACCTCATCTCAGCCTCAAACAGATGATGCAGATAACCAATTCTGGCAGCTATACTATGATTGGAAAGCCTGGAAAGTTGGGAATTCAGCAGAGCAACTGTTGAATTGGGACCAACAGCTGAAGAATGAGAAAATCATCAAGAAGTGCTTAGGAATACCAGTCAACCACAACTGTGAACAGATTTTGGATGACTATTAGGTATGGCAAAGGAACCCTGAAGACTTGCATCTCGAATACCTGGCCAATACACCAGTTTCAGACTCTGAAGCAGATGATGAAGACACTGCAGTCTTCAAGCCAATCTTCTCAAAAGCTACAGAAGATCAAGTGGCTCTCACTTCTGAAGCAACAGCTGAGGATTTCCAAACATTTCCGGAAACCTCACCTGCCGTCGAAACGGAAACCTCACCTGCATTTCAGGAAACTTCACATGCTTCTGAAATGGTTCTGACTGAAGTTGTTCAAGAGAAGGCAACCCCTCCCTCCCAAGAACAGAACCAGGAAACAGCAGATGAAGAATTTCAGCCACTAATCCAATCTCAAGTTTTGGAGATTCTCACCACTCCTTGTGAGATCTCCAATCCTACTGAAATTGAGATCCCGGAAAAGTCAGCTGAAATTCCGGAATAGTCAGCTCTTCCAGAAACAATGGAGCAAGCTGTTGAAGCACAAAGGAATTCTTGAGAAGCTGCAAAAGAAGCTCAAATGGCAGAACTAGAGGTCTCTGAAACTCAAGTAGCCATTTTTGAAGAAGAGAATACAGCTGAAGAAAGGGACTCCCTCTCTAGGGAAATATCAAATTTTGCGCTTGAAACAGAAGGAGAATCTGAAAGAACACTGAAGGTTACTGATGAAGAAGATGTCCAAGAAGATGCTGAATCTCTTCCTATGCAACTCTTCCAAAGAACACCATCATCTCATCAGGTAACCAACTTTCATTTCCATAGCTCTTCCACCCCTGCTCTTCCGGATGAGATACCAGAAATCTGGACAAAGAAGGTCCAAGGGCTGATTGAATCAGCCCTAGCATCTCAACATGCCTCCTTTAGGCAAGAGATAGAACAAATGGAAGTCAGGCACACCCAGCTAATAGAGAAATCTGAAGGAAAACACAGCGCAGATCTCAAAGAAATAAGCAAATCAGTGCAGAAGACTCTGGAGATTATCTCTCTATTGAGTGAAACTGT